ACAGTAGAAGACACCAGCAATATACCAGAACTTCAAGAGACTCAGGCAGCAGAGGTGAGTGCAGGGACCATTGCCAAGGAGAAGGTGCTGGGGAAGCTGAAAGGTTTGAAGTCCGATAAATCAGATGGACTACACCCCAGAATATTGTATAACACAGCTGAGGAGATTGTAGAGGCATTGATGGTGATCTTTCAGGAATCACTGGAGTTAGAGAGGGTCCCAGAGGATGGAAAATGGCTAATATGACACACCTGTTTCAGAAGGGAGGGGGGCAGAAGATGGGAGACTATAGGCTGGCTAGCCTGACCTTGATCATTGGCAAGATTTATAGTTCATTATTAAAGATGAGATTACAGAGTAAGTGGTAAAAATGCATGGCAAATTGTGATGAGGTCAGCATGCTGTCATCAAGGGGATGTCATGCTTGACAAATCTGTTTGAATTCTTTGAGGAGGTAATGAGCAAGTTAGTCAAAGGAGAGCCAGTGGATGTGATCTATTTCTCAAATGCCTTTGACAAGGTGTCATGTAAGAGGCTGTTAAGTGAGCTAAGAGCCCATGGTGTTAGGGCAAGGTACTGGCATGGATAGACAGTTGGCTGACTGTCAGAAAGCAGAAAGCCTGGGGATAAAGGGATATTTTTCAGGATACCAGTTGGTGATTAGTGGAATTCCACAGGGGTCAGTGTTGAGACCACAACTATTCACACGAAACATTAACAATCTGGACAAAGGAATTGAGGGCATTGTTGCTAAATTTGCAGATGATACAAAGATAGGTGGAGGGACAGGGAGAGTTGAGGAAGTGGGAAGGCTGCAGCATGACTTGGACAGGCTAGGAGTGGATAAAGAAGTAACAGATGAAATGCAATGTGGAAACGTGTGAGCTTATGCATTTTGATAGGAAGAATAGAGGTGTAGACTGTTTTCTAAATGAGGAAAGACTTTGGAAATCCGAAGCACGAAAGGACTTGGGAATTAAGGTTAGTCTGCAGGTTTAGTTGGCAGTTAGGAAGTCAATTGTAATGTTAGCATTCATTTCAAGAGGGCTACTATATAAAAGCAGGAATGCACAGCTAAGGCTGTATAAGGTTCTGGTCAGACCATATTTGGAATATTGTGAGCAGCTCTTGTCCCTATATCTAAGGAAGGATTTGCTGGTGTTGTAGGGGGTCCAGAGGAGGTTTACTAGAATGAACCTGGAATGAAGGACTTGTCATATGAGGAGCAGTTGACGACTCTGGGTCTGTACTCGATGGAGCTGAGAAGGAAACAAGCAGGAATCTGACAGAAACTTAGAGAATACTGAGAGGCCTGGATAGACTGGACATGGAGAAGATGTTTTCACTAGTAGGAGAGACTAAAACCCAAGGGTACCACCTAAGAATGAAGGGACAACCCTTTAGAACTGAGATGAGGAGGAATTTTGTTAGCCAGAGGGTGGTTAGTCTTTGGAACTCATTGTCACACAGGGTTGTGGAGGCCAAGTCTTTGAGTGTATTTAAGACAGAGATAGATAGGGTCTTTAAGGTTCTTGCGAAGGTTCATCAGAGGCTTTACTGATGATGTTACCTAGCACGGTGACGAAACGTCTGAACTACAACCCATCAACTTGGTAAGCAAGTCAACAACCTTATAAATAGGGTCTTGATTGGTAAGAGGATTAAGGATTACAGAGAGAAGGCAGGGGAATGGGGTTGAGAAACATATCAGCCATCATTGAATTAGGAAGAAGATTTGATGGGCCAAATGGCCTAATTCAATCCCTATGTCATATGGTTTTATGGTGTGCGCTAAGAGAGCAAGAGAGGAGCCTTGAGGTGCTTTCAAGTCGAAACCAACAGTTGGATACCTGTATCTGTGAGCAAAGTGTCCTGGCAAGATATTACAATGAAAGATGCCAGTGCTGTCCACAGTGCAACATTAAGCTGCAGAATCGTATTGTATGTGGCTCGGAGATGCGCCATGAAGCTATGGTAAGGCTGACACATGTCCAGTGCCAAAGTTCATAGACAGATAGGGCTGTGTATGGTTGCTACACACAGATCATGCTCTGAGATGTTGGTGACTAGTGCCCATGGTGGAGGGCTGGAGGAGCAAGTGGCAAGCCGGAGTCACCAAGTGAGTGCTTTGGGCTTTCACGTCAGGAATTGACGCTGTTTAGTTTCCATCCTCTGGGAGGGAGAATGGGAAACTGTATATCATTGAGGCAAGAGTAACTGATAATGGCACACTAGTGTATGCTATGGATGCAAACAGGCCTCCCACTGTTCAGGACTGAGATACATGTCTCACTGTTCAAGACTGGCTTGGAAAGTGGGACATTTTGCCCTCAATGTTGAGAATCTCCTTACTGCATATCTCACCCTATTTATCAAACTTTACTTCCAATGCCACGTTGTCTAGTGTTGGGATGATTCCAACCATCATCTAGTCATTTTTATTGGGAGGTTGAAATGTAAAAATTATGATCAGCTCGAGACATCAAAAATACCTAATTGTCTGTAAAGTACGTTGAGCATCTATTGCAATTCCTTGCAGACCGATAATTTTGAAAAAGGAAATCCCACAAATCCAATGGAAAGAAAATTAGTGGGCTAGAGTTCAATTTTTAAAATTTTAAGGCAGCAAATCAACTTATCAACATAATCTATTCATTCATTAACTGATGATGTTATTAAATTGGAGAATGTGCAGAAAAGATTTACAAGGATGTTACCGGGACTGGACGGTTTAAGTTATAAGGACAGGCTGTCCCTGGAGTGTCAGAGGCTGAGGGGTTATGTTATAGAGGTTTATAGGATCGTGAAGGGCATGGATAAGGTGAATAGCCAAGGCCTTTTCGCTGGGGTAGGGGAGTTCTAAACTAGTCGGCATATTTATAAGATGAAAGGAGAAAGATTTAAAATGGACCTGAGGGGCAACTTTTTCACACAGAGGATACTGGAGAGGTATCTGGAATGAACTGCCAGAGGAACTGATAGATGCAAGTACAGTTACAACATCTCAAAGACATTTTGACAGGTACATGAATAGGTAAGGTTTGGAGGGATACAGGCCAAATGCAGGCAAATGGGACTAGTTTAGTTTGAGAAAAACAAAACAGAAGTTGCTGGAAAAGCTAAGCAGGTCTGGCAGTATCTGTGAAGAAAATCTTTTCTTTACAGATGCTGCCAGACCTCTCAGCTTTTCCAGCAACTTCTGTTTTTGTTCCTGATTAACAGCATCCACAGTTCTTTTGGTTTTTTATTCAGTTTGGGAAACTTGGTTGAATGGATGAGTCGGACTGAAGGGTCTGTTTCTGTGATGTATGACTGTATGATCCTACAACTCTATAAGTATATTTCAAACAAGAAGGTCAATTTCACCTCAAATATTCGATGCAACAAAGAAACGTCTTGTGTGGTTATAAGCGCTCACATTATTTGCCACACAAATGTGGAATCTTGTAAAATTTCACAGTCATTCCAACTCATCCTCTGCTATGTTGAATCTCTCATTTCCCACTCAACAGTTTTGGCTTTTCAGTTACATTAACCAGTAGACATATTCCAGCAAATTTAGAACATAGAACAGTATAGCACAGTACAGGCCCTTCGGCCCACGATGTTGTGCAGACCTATTATCCTACTAAGATCAAACTACCCTGCATACCCTACATTATACTATCATCCATGTGCCTATCCAAGAGTTGCTTAAATGTCCCTAAGATATCTGACTCCACTACCACTGCCGGCAGCGCATTCCACACACCCACTACTCTCTGTGTAAAGAACCTACCTCTGACATCTCCCCTATACCTTCCTCCAATCACCTTAAAATTATGCCCCCTCGTAATAGTCATTTCTGCCCTGGGAAAAAGTCTCTAGCTGTCTACTCTATCTACACCTGTCATCATCTTGTACACCTCTATCAAGTCACCTCTCATCCTTCTTTGCTCCAATGAAAAAAGCCCTATCTCCCTCAACCTTTCCTCATAAGACCTGTCCTCCAGTCCAGGCAGCAACCTGGTAAATCTCCTCTGCACCCTCTCTAAAGCTTCCACATCTTTCCTATAATGAGGTGACCAGAACTGAACACAATATTCCAAGTGTGGTCTAATTAGGGTTTTATAGAGCTGCAGCATAACCTCGCAGCTCTTAAACTCAATTCCCCTGCCAATGAAAAGCCATTTACTGTGACATGATCAAGATTGACATGGCACACATCTATGTACCATTTCTGACATGGGTCACAACAGTTCAGTTAACACAGCATCACCAGAGACTAACTTCTTCATCCCTTTTAAAGAATCTGGTGGGACTCTGGAAACAGTGGCAACAGATCTTGTCCAAATAACAATATCTTCTTGTCTGCTGTTCTTTCTACTTTCCTACTCTCACAATAACACAGACCCTGGTCTATTCTCAGAGCTCTGCTTGAACACAACAAACTGTGCAAAGACTGCAAAGCATAAAATAGATCTATTTCAAGAGGACCTTGCTTGTTCCACTTTGCACAAATCATCTGTGTGTTTAGAATTGCCACACTGAAAATTTGGGCTAATCCAACCACATTGCTCTTAATCTTGTATTTATCCTTTGCTTCTTAACTGTTCATCTCCATGGCAACCTCAGGTCTTTTTATCATTTCTTGAAACCCAATAATAGCTTAATCAGGAAACCAACTAACCAATACTCACCAGCCTATGCTAATTCTTAAAGGGGCATCAGACAAAAAGTAAATACAGGCTTTCCTTACGATCTGGGTCATCTCAATCCCAAGGCCATGGAAGGTGGTATAAGAATGTATTTTCTTAATTTCTTTCTTTATGTTTTGTCTAAATGCAGTCACACCTTAATTAAACTTAATAGAGTTTCTTAGAAAGACAGAAAATAACTTTGCTTCTTTGTCTAACAGGTTGCAAGTGTTGAATCAAAAGCATGGAATGCAATCAGAGATTTCATTTATACTTTTTCACATTCATACACAGCATGAAACTCTGTTATTTAGTTGTATTTACCTGGATATTGTAAAATATTTCTTTGTTTCCATAATCAGGACCATAACATGTGAAGTCTTCGACACTAAGCTGAGGTACAAATGGTAAAATTTAGGCATAAATTTCAGAATTCATTCAACAAAAATTGATACATTACTATTGATCATAAAAAATAGCTATTACCAACCTCATTCTGTAAAAAGAGAATGATATTCTGAGAATCCTGTTTAAAAATTGGTTTCAAGAATGTTTGCAGCTCATGGATTTTAATGATTTGTCCTTCATACGTTGCACTTTTCATATTCTTTAAGGAGCTGAAGGTGAATCACAAAAGGTGGGCTTGTGTGAGTATTCACATGCAGACACAATAAAATATAAACATTACTTAGTTCACAGAAAATTGAAGACATTTGCATGTTTTGTTCAGCTATTACACAAAATATTATTTTTTAATTGTAAAATCAAATGCATGTACCTTGTACATCATTTATTTAAAGTTCTTCTTGGTTTTTTTTTAGAATTACAACTACATTAGATTTCTAGAATTTGATTTGAACTTGAAGAAACTGTCTTGAAGTATAACTGTTCCCTTGACAATATTAAAATGCTACAGTGTTGAAATTATACCAAGGTCTTGGTATTTGTCTATAAATTTTAATACACAGGACAATTTCCAGCGTTTGTCCTTCAGTCCCTTTTTGCTTTGCTAAAACCTAATAAAACCCCACCAGAAATGTTAAACTGTTGTTTATCTTATAATCATATTTGCTATTCTATTCCAATGACTACATATCAGAAGTAATCTATTACCTGTAAAGTACTTTGAGGTATCCAGTGGACAAGTAAAGGGCTATATAAATGAATCTTTCTTTTTATAAAACCTGCTTGTCAAAGTGAACTTGGTTCGTTAGGATCAGTATTTGCTTTGTACATGCTTTATGCAGAGGTTTGGCTTATAGTTGCTAGAATTTACTTCTATTCTTCAGGAGGCCTAAGAACACCCATACACAACCCATGACATTTATCTCTTAAAAAGATAACAGCATTAAACAGAGTTATACAGCTTTACAGAGCTTAGGAGTTCAGGTACAAAGCAGCCATCATCTAATTCTATCAACATCCCAGTGCATGGAAGTGCTGGCTTTGGACTGGGGTGGACTTCACCTGGTGAAATAGCAGCGCTCCACAAGCTAGTGATTTCAAATAAACCTGTTGGACTATAACCTGGTGTTGTGTGATTTCTGATTTTGACAACATCCTGAGGGTTACCATTGACCAGAAATTGAACTGGACCAGACATATAAATACTGTGGCTACAACAGCAGGTCTGAAGCTAGAAATCCTGCAGCGATTAACTCAGCTTCTGGCCCCAAAGCCTGGCTTCCATCTAAAAGGTACAAGTCAGGAGTGTGATGGAATACTCCCCACTTGCCTGGATGGGTGCAGCTCTAACAACTCTCAAGAAGCTTGACACCATCCAGAACAAAGCAGACCACATGATTGGCACCACATCTATAAACATTATCTCCCTCTATCACTGATGCTTAGTAATGGCAGTGTGTGCTATCTTCAAGAATTTCACTAAAGCCCTTCAAACAGTAGCTTCCAAGCTCACAACTACTTCCATCTAGAAGGACAAAGGCATCAGATACATGGAACACATGGAATACAAGTTCCCCTCCCAGCTACTCACTACCCTGACTTGGAAACATGTCTCTGTTTCTTCAGTGTCATTGGGTCAAAATCCCGGAACTTCCTAACATCTTCGTTAGTCAATGTACAGCACATGGACTGCAGTGATTCAGGAAGGCAAAATACCAGTATTTTCTCAAGGGTAACTAGGTATGGGCAATAGATTCTGGCCCCGCCAGTGATACCCATATCCCATGAATGATATTTTTAAAAATGACTAATGGAGCACGCTCAAAGAAGTGAGTGGCCTGTGACTGTTCTCATCTTCCAAAAACTTATCATTGGAACAAATGAAGGTACCATGGAATTACGTGGGTTGTGTGATTTTAATGCCATTTTAAAAATTATATTAAACGTGTGGAATTGAGTCCATTCATATGCAGTGAATATATGGAAAAGTCTCCTCTGCACTGTAATTGGTATCTTAAACATTCCCCAAAACATATTTATGGAAATAGAAATAGTTGTTGGAGTGTAATCAGGAAGCAATGCATAAAATTATGCTTAATAATGCACTATTTTGTCAATGTTCACTTATACTCAAATTTTCTGCCAACATTATCAACATAAGCAGAATGCACAAATATCCCATAATAATTCAGAGTCAATAATTGGGAATCCAGGAAAGCTCCAAGCTTATACCAATCATTCTTCTTTTTAATTATTCTAATCAAAGGATCAAACCATCTAAATATAATTTATGGAGAGAAAGCAGAGTTAACATTTCGAGTTCAGTGCCCCTTCTTTGCAGTTGCTGCTGCTAGACCTGCTGAGTTTCTCCAGCAAACTTCTGTTTTTGTTTCACATTTCTGGCATCCACAGTTCTTTGTTTTATTTCACTGTTTAACTCACTGCTACAGCTCTTCCAGGTCTGCCCATCTTGAAGTACTGTTCCTCTCTCCGACAGGATCTCCATTCTAATTTTTCGTCTTGTTCACCGTCATTACTTTCGTAGTCACTCCTGGTGTTTGACAAGGTATTTGCCAAAACTCACTACCAAAGTTACATCACATTCATCAGTGACTACCTCCAGCTCAGTTTCAGCCCTGAATTACACCCAGAATCACAGGCATCTCCATGATGTACAATGCTCCTCAGACAGCTGTTCTTGCCACATCCTGAGATCCACACCCAGTGCCATGCACTGCCATATGCACACTGTTGACCTCTCTCTCTCCATCAGCACTGCCTCACACTATCTCAGAACTGTCCTGCCCCCAGTTCCACTTCATTTTCCAGTTTGTTCAATGTTCTAAAAAGAAACCTGTTCTATTCCTTTCAGGCATTAATGAACACAAGCTTCAACAACTTAGAGATACCCACACCCTTCTGAAACTTTCCTCCTGCCCCCTTCCCTTCATTCTGACTCTATCCCTTCTCCTCTCATTGGGTACTTACTATCTCTTCTGACCTTCCGCACTCTGATGCTGAACATTCTGCATTCAGCAAAGGTCTCATTTTTATCCCTCTGTCACCTTAATGAATTTCAGGCATGACATGATGTTCAACTCTTCTTCTGTCGCCTTCACTTCCATGCCCATTTCTTTGGACAAGTGTCCTCTCCCTATGCCACAGATCCCTTCACTCACCTCCAACACTTTCCCTCCCTCTGGCCTTTTACCTATACTCAACCTGTCCTTTGAGAGCTGTGGACGTGACACCAGTCAGCTTAATTCTTCTGTCCCCCTCCTTACCCATTCCAAACTATTTCCCACTGAACTGACTGCATTTCATGCTTTCAGATCCAACCCTGACTCTGTAATCAAGCCTGCTGACCAGGGTGGTGCCTTTGTTGTCTGGAATACTGACCTCCACCTCCTCCTGTCTCCTCCTGGACCATGAACTCACCATCAAACATCAGGCTTTTATGTCCACGACAGTCATTAATCTTACCTTATCTGGAGATTTCTCCCACAAAGCCTCTAAGATCATAGTCCACCAACACTGTAAAGCCTGATTCTACATTCTTCAGCTCTGAAGAAGGGTTACTGGCCTCAAAAAAATTAACTGTGCTTTCTCTCCATGGATGCTGCCAGACCTGCTGAGTTTCTTCAATCAATTTATGTTTTTGTTTCAGATTTCCAGCATTTTTTTGTACTTTATTATAAATATAATGTATGTTCATTTGCCACAGCTAGATTAAGAACAAACAACTGCAAAAGATTTTAAAATTGTCAACATGTATTATGTTGATGCTATAATACCTTCAAAGCAATAGCAAGCAACAATGCAGCTGAATCCCTGACTGCCTCTTCTATGGCCCTTCTGTCTTCAGTTACAACAATTGTCTTATGGACACTTTTGTCACTAAAACTGAAGCATGGGCTGGATTCTGGAGGTCAGGGTATCTTAGGGTTGCAAAATGATTGCTGCAGTAGCAGGATTGCCAGTCCAACCATCCAGACGTCTTCTAAGTAGGAAAGTTCCTCCTGTGTTCTTTATTTTTTTCTTCGATGTAGGCAACATCAGCGAGGCCAGCATTTTTTGCCCATCCCAAATTGTTCTTGAGCTGAATGACTCACTCAGCCATTTCTGATGGTAGCTAATCATCTATACAAACCATGTCTGAAAAAAGTAGCAGGAGGCAGGAACATATCAGTATTCTAATTTTCAAGTGCCCCCTCCTCCCTTTCCCCCTCACTCTCTACCACCCTCCTTACAATTTACCTCCCTGATCTATTGATTAGTTCTTTTAACATCTCTCCTTTTGGCTGTGTTAAAATTTGAATGAAGCGGATGTCAAATATTTTGGAGCATTGTTCTGCATGAGAAAAACAAGACGTAAACTGACTTGATACATTGTGTGAAACACACATATAGGCGGCTTTGAGCTTAATCCACATGTTTAAAATTTCCTGAGTTTTGGAACTATTTCTGCCAACATTCCCCAGATTGCATAGATATTACCATCTCAAATGAACAGAAACTCTACCTCATATTAGGCGAATCACAAAAATCATTATTCACATCTCTCAGCATCAGTTGCATGGAAATCTGGATAGAAGTTGGGGGATGAGCATTAGGACATCAAAGATGCTGTTGTTGAAGTTAAAAATATTACTTTTCATAATTTATGCATGTGCATTCAATTTACCTCACATCAGCTGGAAAGTTTTAAATGCTTTTAAAAATCTGGCTAAGTTGAGAGCTTATTTTATGTCAAAGTACTTTTCTGCGGAGGAGGCACATAATTATCATGTTAAGGAATTTATTTATTTAGACATTTCTACTTTTGAGAACAAGTAGAATTGCATCTGGGAATTTGGGTTAGACATGCCAAATATTTGGAAAAGGAAATTCATTAAGTGTTTGCATATGAATATTTAACTTAGTACAGAACTGTCCAGACAAATCACTTACGTTCTCCTGAACTATTTTTGATGGAAGCTATCAAACTTAAACATGGGCATAACAAAATGTTTGGCGGCTTAATGCTTTGAAAGGTACCGAAATAATTGCAAACTGTGGAAACATGATCCAAAATGGCATTTAGCATTTATGATATGTTCAGTTCCAGCATTGCAATTGTTGCTACTGATGTTTAATAGTAGGATTTAGTTTCTGCTTTCAGAATGTGCTTGAAATTGGGTTGCTCAAGTTACAGCTCAAGTCGCTAATGGAA